CATCTCTTTCAGATGCACAAGTACACAAAGAGAGCAGAAATCAAGGAGCGTGGCTTAGCTTGGTCCCAGCAGCTCCCAACAGCACACAAATGACCTCCCTGCACACCAGCTAGGCAAGATGTATGTGACAAGTTATTTTAGGTCACAGCAACAAAAGGAAAAATAAACTTACATTCTGTCACCCCAGCATCTGTAGTTCCTTTTACTTGACCGAAGCACCACAGCACATCCTGCATGAGACTGCCAAATCCTGCCAGGAAAACACATTCAGGAAGACACAATCACATTGGTACACAGCTTGTCCTTTTTAAAATGAACATACACGCACACACACGCACACACATGCACATACAAGTGCAATCTCTGCATGAAATGAATATCTGCTCACCTGGTGTCATCGTTCCACGCTAAGCGCAAAGCCAGCACTGCAGAGCCAAGGGCATCGTGCCTGCCTTATGAATCAGCCTCTGTTCTCCCGTGCCACGGCAGGGCTGTTGGGAAGCGGAGCCATCAGAGTCAGTCCCCTCCACATCACTGGCAGCAGCACAGGAGTCAGGAGGCCCTGTAGTCATGGTCTTTGTCACAGCCTCCCTCCGTCAGAATACTAATGCTCCCAGTCACGTCCAGCACAGTTAAAGAAGGAGTGAAACAGAAAAAAAGAACTGCTGCTACTACCACAAGAAATTTTTTTCACATTTGTGGTCAGTGCAGTTCTGAACTGCTTGGCAATGAACCTGAGCAGCATGGAGCTGCTTTACAATACATTATAACACTTTCCTCAAAATCTGCCTGCAATCACAAGTGCCTTATAGCTGCTTTAAAATGTTACTACAGACATTTCTATTGAAAGGCATATTATTAAGCTGTAGTGCTTTCAACTGTGTTTGCTGCTGCAGCATACTCTGTGTTAAGACTCTCTAAGAGAAATTAGGATTTCATCTACCAATGCTCCTTGTTTTCTTGACAGCTCAGCAGAATTTCTCTTTCTGTAACACAGTTTTCACTGTTCCACAAAAAAAAATTCACTGCCTCAAAGGACAACTTGTTTCCTTTCATCCTAGCACACATTTTATCTCAAAGAATTTCCAGGCATGAAGAAAGAAGGAAAATGGAGCCATGGGGACCAGTAAATTTCATCTCAGCTGTTTTACACACAGGTGAAATGTGTAACAGAAAATGTAGGTATTTCACAGTTGGCACGTGTGATATGGGCTCAGTCTGGGGTCATGCCATGGAGAACAGACCTGTTACTTCTCTACAAAAGTAAAAGAAAACATGGGGCTGGGAGACAATGTCCAGTAGGGGATATGACCAAGTTGTATGGACTATGCTGTAGCCTAACTGGATGTCTGTGTGAGATTTCTGTCTGATTTTATTTAGATTTTTGTATATTAATACAGGTATATATCAAAAGTAATGTAATCATCTGGAATGCATAATAGGTACAAAGTCAAGAGTGAGCTTTATTGGATTATTCAAACCAAATACAAGGAAAAGATGGAGCTTTAAGGGTATGAAAGGGGGCCCTCTTTTTGTATGTTGGAGATGGGTGATTTAAAGGAAATTGTTGTGTTTTTTAAGGTTTATTGCTAACTTAATTTGTGAAATTTCTCTCTGGACCATGCAGACTTCCCCTGTAATTTTTGGAGTTCTTTCTCTTGGCACACCAGTTCTTGCTTTAAGGATGGAATTTCACTAATGAAGTACATGTCTATGATATTGATGTATGGGAAAATCTTGCCTGCAATCTTGGTCTCTCTCTTGCCAGTATGCAAACTAAAAGCCTTTTCATCCCAATAATTTGAAAAAATCTTTAAAAAATCAGGTATGCCTGGGGAAAGGCTGCACATGGATATTGATTCGTTTTATCTGTACTGCGTCCAGCCCTGGGACTGAACGAGTCCAAATGCTGGGGAAGAGCATCTGTTTGAGGTGCACACGACAAGCCTGGAATGCTGATGGGAGTGGATGATGGACACAGGGATCCTGTCCCAGTGGGAGAGATTAGGACACATACTAGAGAAAAGGAGTGGGGAACCCTTTTACATCCCAGCCACCCACTGACGCCTTGTGTGACAATGAACCAGTGTTAACTAATGTGAACCAGTGTTGACTAACTTCCATTTCTCTGCAATGAAAAGTTGTTAGCCACTGTTAACCCAGCTTGCTGGAGATGAGCTGTCACTTTGGATTCTGAAGTCCTGTCCTGCCTTAAATTCTAGTGACCCCTAGCTGAGGAATCCTAGTGCTTCACATTCTGCAGCCAGGAAAAGACATTCCTCCGTGTGTTCTCTGAAATGGAGCTCAGATTCTATGGAAATCTTGCTGGGATTGGTGTGTTTAAAAATGCAGGTTCTGGAACACTGCGGTTTGCACTGTGAAAAGGATGTCCAAGCTATTTTCAGAAGCAGCCACCTCACAGATATAGCAGAGTGGGTGCAGGTGCCATCATCTGTGCTGAGTCAGCGGCCAGGGAAACTGTGCATGGGATAAGGCACCAGGGACAGATTTGCCCTTTCAGAAAACACTTAATCCCTGATCATGGGCGAGCCTCCGCTACAGGAGGGCACCCCTGGGTGGGCCACACCTCTGCACAGCCTGCAGTGAGTTTTAACCTTGATTAAGTATGTATATCAGTGCCTACACTTTGGCACTGGCAGCCACCTGCAAAGCATACAAGACAATTCTCATTCAGAAGGAGCTGTGGGCAGTGTGTGGAGGTAAGCCCGCTTTAATCACAGGAGATGCCAGCAATGGCTATTGAAATCTGACACCTTACAGGCATCCCATCATGTAAAGTTTGGTGGAAGATTACAGCTGAGTTATGGCTGCTCAGTATAATTCCCCTTCTTTAAAGACTTATGGTTCCAGAAAATACATAGAATAAGCGTAGCAAAACTTCTCTGTTTTTGCAAGCCATTGATAAAAATTAATTTGATAGTTGAACCAAAAGTATAGTTAGCTGAATAGTTAAAATTATAAAGGTGAATAGAACTTAAAAAAATTATTTTTTAAGTCAGTGGCAGCCATGAGGGTCTTTGCCCCCTGTGACCTCTGCAGACCCCAGGGGTTTGCCTGGCATGCCCAGGCTGGGGGAGAGGTGGGGGTTATGTGCTGGAGGAGTGTATGGGTTGGTGGCAGGAGCCTCCTGGAGGAGAGGAATAAGCTGTGCCTCCTCTCCATTAGAAGGCACCAGAGATCCACCACGGCGCTCCCGTTTCTCAGGCCAGGAAAGCTGGTGGTGGCTGTTGCACATGACAGAGAGACCACTTCAGTCCCCTGAGTTTCTTCTCTGTATGAGTGAAAAAATTCCCCAGCTTGGGACATGCCTCCTGTTTCTGAGCTGACACAGTAGAAAAGCTCCATTTCTTGAGAAAACTGGGGGACACATTTAACTGATTTTTTTTTTTTCCCCCTAAGTGTGCTTTCTTTTTATTGCAGACCAAAGCCCCAGCTCTGGGACAGGAGGCTCTGTTTTCCATGGAAAATAAATCCCTCTGCTGCACCAAGCAGAATGGTGTTTTTCCACTGCCCAGTGGGGAACAGAGTTGGCTGTTTCTCAGGAGCTGTTGCAGATCTGCCTTCTGTCCTCTCATTTGCTTTTTCTTTGGCCTACTCAATAATCAGGCTTTAATATTTCATTTCTGCAAACATACAAGATCCTGAAACTCTTCAGATGACCCACTCTGGACTACTACTTTTGTAATATCTCCACTACTGATTCCACTAGATTTACTGGGTTTGTCCTGGATTATAGCTTTTGTTGGAAATAAAATCTGAATAATAATGTTTAGAAAAGGATTCTAATTACTTAAGGTAAAAATCTTCAAGCTTCATGGAAGTCACTCACATGAAAAGTCAAATAGAAAGGATTCTCCATCCAGCAAATTTTAGTCTATTCAGGAAAAGCTGCTTTGGATAGCCAGAAAACCAAAAGTGGATCCTCTGAAAGGCAGAGTTTGGTCTTGGGCATCTCCTGATGCGGGAGCTGTGGATAAATCACTGCAATTCCCTGCAGCGTGAACACCTTATCCTACCCACCAGAGATGGTTTACTTCAAAGCACTTTGTTGCTTGATTTCTGTGTGGTAACTGCTGGTTCCTCATCCTCACTGTGAGGCAGTGCAGGTCATCTCCAAGACAGGAGCTGGTGTCCCGACCTGGAGCCCACCTGCCCCCAGAGCCCTTGCACGTGTCCTCACCTCAGAGCTGGGTCCTGAGGACAGATGTCCCCTGGCCCAACCCAGCCCTGCAGGAATCCAGCGTCTTTCTCCCTCTGCTGTCCATGGGTCTGTATTTCAGACGATCTGAATTGGTTTAGATAGTTTGGAGAGACCCAGCTGTGTTTCAGCTTATTGGTTCTTCTCTAAGTAACACATGAAATTGCTAAAACTGGGTAACTGCTCTGATTTCTGTCTGCCCTGGGGCAAGGACGGCTCTTCCTCAAAGCTCTGGGAGTCTGAGCCTGCTCCTGGCACTCAGGAATGCGAGCAGAAAAGCCAGTGTCGGACGAGTATGGACAATGGGGTGGGAAATGCGGTGTCTCTCTTCTTATGGGATCCTCCCAGGGGGAATGCGAGCGGGCCGGGGAGGCAGCGAGCCCCGAAACTCGGCCGTACCAGGATCAGAGGGACCGAGGCCCCGACGGGGCTGGCCCTGGAGCTGCCCCCGAGGCGGGGCTGGATGCGCCCGGGCACGGAAGGCGGAGCCCGCAGCCCCCTTCCAAAAACAGCAGAGGGCCAGGCAGGAGGCGGATAGAGGAGAAAGGAAAACCCCGCGGCCAGGGGCGGCAGAGCGGCCGTCAGAGGGACTGTCGTTCCTCGCAGCAGGACTGGGACGGGGACAGGGACAGGCACAGTCCCAGGCAGAGGGACAGGGGCAGGGACAGGCACAGGGACAGGCACGGGGACAGGGACGGGGACAGGTAGAGGGACAGGGACAGGGACAGGGACAGGGACAGGGACAGGGAGAGGACAGGGACAGGGACAGACAGAGGGACAGGGACAGGCTCGGGGACACGCACAGGGACACCTCCCTGGCGGCGCGGCGGCCCCGGGGGCGGTGGCGTGTCCGTGGCCAGTGTCGCTGGCGGTGCCGCAGGCTCCTCCCGCCGCACCGGGGCCCGGCCGGTTCTCGGCTGCTCTCCCCCGCCGGCGGTGCCGCCCGGGCCGGCGGTGCCCGCTCCCTGCGAGCCCCAGGTAGGCGCCTCTCGGTCGCGCTTTGGGGCGGTGTGACCGCGGGCGGGGGGCTCTCGCTGCTGGCCCGCTGGGACGCGCGGGGTCCGGCGGCAGCTCCGCCGCTGCCCGCAGCGCGCTCCGGCCGGGGTCGCGCTGCCGGAGACCCGGCTGCGGCCGGGAGAACGCAGAGACACCCTTCGCTCCGGAGGGGACGCCCAGCGCGCTGATGGTGAAACTCAGGGCGCCTCTCCTCGCCCCTCCCGAACGCCGGGGGAGTTCGGGGTCATCGCTGGTTCCTCCGGGACCCAAGCGCAGGGCGATGTCCCTCCGGGCTGTGCAGCCGCGCAGTCCCAGCTCCTCGGCGGAGCGGTGCTCGGGTAGTGCCGAGGCGGTGAGAGAAATTGCCTGTGAGCCCCTGGAGGCAGCCGTCCCCTTCCAGGTTTCGGCAGTGCCCATCAGGGGTGTCTCCACCGGCGCTGCTGGTGCCCATCCTTCGGCCGAGCCGCAGCCCGTCCCCGTCCCCCTGCGCTGCCGTCCCCTCAGCACACCCTGCTCGCCCTGCAAACCTCGCAGCTGGCTGCTCTCCTCCCTTTGGCGTGGGGCTTCCATTCATGGCTAGTGGCCAGGGCGTGCTGGCGTGCGCGGGGCTGGGATGCTCCGCCTGCGCAGCCCCGCGGTGCCCGGGGAGCCCCGAGCGCTGCGCAGCGCAGCTGAGCCGGGCTCCCACCCCGCGTCTTCTCAGCGTGGAAGCGCCAGGAAATCTGGCCCAGGAAAGGTAATGATTTTAATAGTTTTGTGACTTTGCAGCGTGAAACAGTGAAAGATTTATCATTTCCATCCCCCGGCTACACTTTGTAAAGGTGGAAATCCTTGTAATTATTATTCAGGCTACTCAGGCTAGCTTAACTTCAAGCACTCCTTCCTCAGAGCTTGTATGTATGGATGTATTTTCAAAAATGAACTTGGCTCCAAACTGCTGTGCAAGGAAGTTTCCTTGGGAACCTGTGATATCCTTTATGGCTGTTGCATCTGAAGGTCTATTTTTATTCTGAAGAGTAAGTTTTGGGGCTCAAAAAGAGTTACTACTGTGGGTTTGTTTGAGACTGAAGGCTCGATCTGTTCCTGCCAGAAGCACTGATGGGAATTGTAAACATTTGCTCCTTCATTTGTTTTATTGCTGGATCTTGTTTCAGTTCTGAAATGGGAAATTAAGATTTTATTTTGGTTAGCTGGAGAAAAGGAGCTGTGTATGCTGGTGGGGTAACTCACTGTATCCCATGACAGACCCAGTTCCCAGTAATTCTCTTTGCTCCAACATCTTTCTTATGATTCCTCCCTTTTCTGCTTCAGTACCACAATTTTGTTAATTTAAAGAAGTGAAGTTAGGTAGTAGACATTTCCAAAGCATAGATCTGAGAAAATGATCAGTGAACATATGGATGCCCTGGAGAATGCTCTGGGCTGGACCCAGTCCAGATCTTGCCACACTGGTACTCCCTCATTTTGTTCTTTTTAGGCTGTGTACTTGCAACAAGGAATAAAGGTGTATGTCACAGGGATGTCAGTATCAAAACAAGCACATAAAGGTGCATTGCATGTGGATGCTTTAAAAATATCGTGTTTGCTGTACCTTACAGAGAGTGTTCAAGCTCTCTCAAGTGTCAGTAAACCCTACAGACATGTCAGGAAAGATTGGAAAATTCCTGTGCTCCCTGCTAATGAACAGACCTGTCCCCTTGCAGTGGGAGAGGAAATCCAGTCACTGCAGCCAGCATCAAGCCAGAAATCAGGTTTGCTGTTCTGTTCATAGTTCATATCCAAAAATAATCTGAAGAACCTGAGTGGAAACTATATCTTGATTTTACATGGAATCTTTTGGTTAGAAATACCAGAATTGTATGATTTTTTTTTCCCAAATGAAAGACGTGTGTAACTGCTTAAATCAAAAGGTTGACACTGTGAATTTCTTCTTCCGTAGCTTTTACCCTTCCACATGGCCTCAGTAGTCAAAAGTGCCTTTTGGCTTTATCTAGCCAAGTCAGTGTGTCCATTTATTTTGGATATTGGTCTCACTACAGTTAGTCACCCCTGAAGCTACAAAATACATGCTGGATGATACAGAAAACATGAGCCAGATCCCTGGGTCTGCTGCTGTTCCTACCCTTCCTGCAGCGGGCAGCAGTCCTGATCTGAGGTACAAGGTTATGGTGTTGCTGGTTCTCCAGTGAGCTCCATTGCAATGTGCTTGTCCCTTACAGTCAGTCTTGTCCCCAGAACAGAGAACCTCCAGTGAGACATTCACAAGCTGTAAATGATGAACTTTTGCTTCCTGCCCTCTGCAGGATGCATCAGCAGGACATTGCCAAGGTCTGGCAGGACTGACCCACAGAACTGTACCAGAGGAGCAGAACCCAGAGGAGTGGAGAGTGCTGAGCCTGGGCTGAGCACACCATGGGGGCAAACACCTCCAGCAAGTCACCGCCCTTGGATGGGAATGAGGAAGGTAAGGACTTTTCCTGTTGTTGTCTGGGGCTGCAGAGCTCTGCAGTGCAGACTGGCTGTGAGGGTGCCAGCCAGCACTGTGCTGAGCCTGCAAACCCCTGGGTGTCCCAGGCCAGCACAGTGTGTGGAGGTCAGCAGCAGCAGCAGCAGTGTGCCCGTGGTCCCTGCAGAGCTGTGGTCTGGTCTTGGGGTCCCTTTTCCCTCCCCTCCCAGCAGCTCCGAAAGCAAAACTGTCAGCAGAGGAGTCCCTGGGGCACTGCCAGGCACCTCCGAGGCAGAGACAAAATGCTGCTGCTCTGGAGGCTGGAGAGCTCTGTTCTGGAGGTCCCAGTGTAGGGAGGAGTGGTAGGGAGAACGGTGGGAAGGTGGCTGGAGCGATGGGTGCTCCCATGGGTGTTCCTGGTGGCTGCCCAGCTGGGCAGGACTGCCTGCAGGCACTGGGAGGCCAAGCCTGCAGGCTGGGTTGGCTGGAAAAGGAGCTGGAAAACTACTGCTGGGAGCAGTGCTGGAGGCCAGGGTCCCTGTGCTGCCAAGATCACAGAGACAGTCATTAAAAGATTGCTCCATAAATATATTTGCTGTTGCATGAGTCAGCTTGCTGACTGCCATATGGGCTTTCACCTAGGTACAACAACAATATGCATATGTAGATAAATACAAATACACAGTAATAAACATAAAACATAAGAGGAGCTGGATACCCCACCAGTGCTGTTCCAATGGCAGCGGTGTCCCTGCCAGTCTGCAGCTGCTCAGCAAAACCAGCTTCAGTTTCCAAATTATTAATGCAGCTGCTTACAATTTTTCTTTGGTTTTCATATTTTTTCCATTTCTGTAGTGCAAAAGAAATCTGTGCTGTGACGTTTTCCTGAAGATTTTATCCCTGGTGCATCTAAATGCTCAGTATTGGCATTTCTCATAAGCAACCACTTACGCTTGCTTGGGTTAATGAGCAGTTCTGTTCCTCAGGGTGGTGTGCTCTGGCTGTGGGATTGCCCTGGGAGTGGCTGGTCTCTGCTGGGTCTCTCTCTGGGTTCAGTGTTACACAGCACCAGCTTCTGTGGCTGAGAAACACAACACCAGGAAAGGCCCTGTCCTGACCCTGCCTGATCTGCAGTGACAGAGGCTGACCTAAGGAACTTGCCTTTGAGGCTGAGCCATAGAGAAAAAAAGCCCTGTTAAACACACTAAGTTTAAACAACACCCAAGTCTCCAAAAGGAAGAGAATATTTCTGGGGTATCCCTCATTTTTCTCAGCTCATAGGGATAAAGAAGTGGAAATAACATAATATTCTCAAATGTTTGCTCAGCCACTTACTATTGAAATGTTGCTCTTTCTTACAGTTACCTTCGACCATTTTGAGATTTTGCGAGCTATTGGGAAGGGCAGCTTTGGAAAAGTGAGTGTTTTGGAAACTAATCACCATGTGGGCAGCTGGAGATGTAACTGGGTGGAAATAGATGAGTTGGAGGCTCACATGAGAGTACAGAACAAAAGCCCATGCACTATCAGTGAGCCTTGACCTTCAATTCCTGGTAATCAGAAAGGAATCAGCGCCCAAATCCTTTTCTATTCGGTAGCCAAAAATCAAAGCCCAGTACCCCTTAAACAAAGCTGGAGATTTCCTGTGAACTGAGTAACACTTCTCAGGAGAGTGAGGATCAGGTGCTGGTCCCAGTGTTTGACCTGTAGCTCTGTGCTGGAGGGGGCTCCCAGCAGTAACTAGTGTGGGAGCATTTGACATGATGGTTAGTGAATGGCATTAAATAAAACGTTGACTTCTCTGTGATTCCCTGCCTCCCAAGCTGTGATGATAAATTCCTTCCTCTCATCTTCCCTCCACAAATTTCTCTTTGTCTGAAATTCCCAAGAGATTCCCAGGCAGTGTCCAGTGTTGCAGCGTTGGTGGATGGAGTTGTGCCCTGGCAGTGTCAGCACTGCCAAAGCTGCAGGAGAACACTCATGTCACTGGGTTTTACCTGGCAAAATTTGCTGACAAATCATCTCTGTTTTATCCCCTGATTGCTCTCTTAGGTCTGCGTGGTGCAAAAGACTGACACCAAGAAGATGTATGCCATGAAATACATGAACAAACAGAAGTGTGTGGAGCGTAATGAAGTGAGAAATGTTTTCAAGGAGCTGCAGATTATGCAGGGCCTGGAACACCCTTTCTTGGTTAATTTATGGTAAGAGGTGGTGCCTTGGCTCCCTGCTTGAGTCAATGAGAGACGCTTTTGGGATCAGACCCTCCTCATCTGCTTCAAGCCTGTCTTGGGAGCAACTGGTGAATTCCATTGACTGGGGCTCTTTTTCAGGAGAATCCTGTTTAGTTAAGCAGTTATCTCCCTTGTCTCCTCAGACAGCACAAGGGAGTTTATTCATGTGTCCCTTTGCAGTGTCCCCTGGGCAGGTATTGGCTATCACCATAACCCCACCTGTATTTAAAGGAGCTCTTTGCAATCACCAGCAACTTCTGGCAGCATGGGATTGATGGCCAGGCAGGGCTCTTTGCTGGCTGTCCCTTGACATTTCTTTCTTCTTAAACTTGTGAGTAATCAGTAAGTTTAACCAGTAACATTCCAAGGTGTGTGAGTTCACATATTGCATGATAAAGTGGCCAATATCCTGTAGGTTCAGTATTCCTCTAGGGTCATGGGTAATTACATTTATTGGAAATTGGATTTTTTTTTTAGAATAAAATATAAATTATCAATGCTAAACACACACAAAACCACAAAAAATAGTCTAAAAGACATTGAAGATCAAAAATCCTTGATTAATTCTTCCTTTTTGAAATCTTCTGTAACCTGAGTGTAGTTCAGTGAACTCTTGGTATTTTGCTGCTATTGCCATTTAGACTGGTTCTTGTTGGGGTATGAATGGTAAAGATGCAGCTACACCTCCCATATAATATCTCCAAACTTGTCTTTCCTCCTTGAGCACAAAGCTCCAGGCAAAGCTCACTCAGCAGCTGAAAGCTGACCAGTGTGTGTCTATGCAGGGATCTGTACAGAGCAAACCATCCACGTGCCCCTGCTCCTGTTCTTGCCATGCCATCCCTGGCTTCAGGATGCCTTTAGCATTCCTGTGTCTTTCCTGCCCTCTGGGTGATACACAGCCTACAATCTTCGTGTGGAGCAGTGGTCTGGCTGGTGTGCTGGTCACCCATCAAGAGGCAGTGTGTTGAAAAGGAAAAGTCCATGAGGAAAGAGCTCACAGCTGGGTGTCAGCCCCTCTCAGGGAGACACAGCCCATCCAATGAGATCACTGACAGAGGACCAGCAGAGAGCAGCTGCACCCCTGTTGTGCCGAGCACACGGGGTCACAGGCAGGCTGCTGCCGTGCCTGACAGGGGCACCTCCAGTCCAGGGCTGCAGGGCCAGGGCTCCTCTGCCCTGCTCCTGTGGTCAGCTCCTGTTGGTGCTGGGAGAAGGCAGAATGCCCATCCTCGGTTGTTCATACAATCTGCTCTGACTCTTATGGATCTGAGACTAAATTATTTGTTGTCACAAGTGTGACAATAGTAGGAAACAGAGCACGGAAAGGTCGTGAAATTTGGAGTGAAAAATTCCAAGAAATGATGAGTGTTCCCAGAGGTACCATATGTTCCTTTATTACCTGTCATTTTTCAATGCTACTGTCCTTGAACCACGCGTGTGCTGTTTCAGGTACTCATTCCAGGATGAAGAGGATATGTTCATGGTGGTCGACCTGCTGCTCGGAGGGGACCTGCGCTACCACCTCCAACAAAACGTGCGGTTCCAGGAGGGAACTGTGAAACTCTTCATCTGCGAGCTGGTGCTGGCCCTTGACTACTTGCAGAGCAGGCACATCATCCACAGGTCAGCCAGGCCACAGGCTGTGCTGTGGGGAGGCTTGTTCCTCCTTGATATGAAACACAAGGCATCCCCCAGAAAAGTATTTCATATACAGCAGAGACCATCTGATTTGTCCCTCTGGGGTAGCTGTGAAATATTTGATTGCCCACTGATCCTGGGTTTTAATTACTGTAACTCATTAATGTCCATCCTCATGCAGGGAGTGTGGGTGTCAGCACTCAGAACTCCTGTGTTCATGCTTGAAGGTGTCTCCCTTTGCCCCTCTCTGTATTGCACCAAAATACAAGGACTGGGCCCAAACACAACTTTTTCCTGTATGAGGTAAATCCCTTTTTAGAAGTGCTGAGAGTTTCTTTTTGGCTACCACAATTTCTCATGGCCAGTGAAAAAAATGCATGAGTTCTTCCCATAACTTTGAAGACCTGCAGAATGGCAGAGGTTTCCCCTGGCTGGGAAGCAGGATTTGGCTGTGGATGGAGAGACACATGGCTCCTCTGCTGGTGTCTTTTGCTCTTCTGCAAAGCTCAGGGGCCCAAGAGTTTAGCCACGCTAGCTGCTGTCAGGGAGGATGATCAGAGAGGGTCTGTGAGGGTCAGTAATTGCAGGGAGAAGGTCACTTCATTTAGAAATACCACTGCAGATGAGCATTCTTGTGCAGTATATAAAAATTAAGCGTGGAAAGTGTAAAATTGAAATGGTTGTTAGTGGGGAAGGCACACCCTGGTGAGGGTGAACGCCTGTTCCTGCCCACAGTGCCATGTCCAAGGAGTGAGGGTGGAGAGATCCCTTGCCTGTCCCTGCAGCCACAGGAGCTCAGAGCAGTTCTGCTCTGCTGCACCCGGGCCAGGCCCAGGGGACAGCTGCCACCTCCTCGGGGTCTCCTCTTTCATACCTCTGCTTTTGTGCTTTACGTGCAGGGATCTTTGCCCCAGTGGGAATAGGAGTGGGAGAAACTGCAGGTGAGGTTGCAGTGTGCTTTTCACACAGCTGCATGTGTTTAAGGTAAATCAAGTACAACAAAACATGTATGGCAGACTGTAAAATTTGCAAGTTATTTAATTAACACTGTAATGCAAGTTGTTTAATTAACACTGTAACCCAGTGGGACAGTACTTGATTGATAAAGTGATTTGGCTGAGGCAATTACACTGCAACAGCTGTAATTGGGAACATCAGGAGATAGGGAAGCAATGGTTTTGTTTGGCTGAACAAAGCTGTGCAGAGACAGCAAACTCAGGCTGTAATTATTTCCCACCCAGTTGTAAAATAATGGGAAATATTAATATCATTTAGGTTAGGAAATTATATAACCAGCTTATAAAAAAGAAATATACAAATGAACGATAAGCAGAATTATGTCTGGTATTTGTTTGCATCCTGAGAATGATCTTACTGTGCTGGTGTAATTTCAGAGGCTGTATGCCAGACTGAGGGAGATCAGAAACAGCCACTAGAAATTAAAAAGTAATAACTTAAAAAAGAGTTCCACTGTACTGAGGGGGAAAATCAGCTGCTTACCTGCCACTGCCCTGTGCTCAGCTAATGATGCCTGTCCCTATACTCACCTCTGTGATGGGATGGCACCAGGAAGGGAACCACTGTTTATAACCCACTGGAAGTTGTTTGGGTAACAAGATGCCAGAAACCTGTAAGCTATTAGATGACAATTAGATATACTGTGCGGCTTTGATTCCAGGTGACTTGGAGAACTCAAACTGTATCCTAATGATTGAATTTCTAAAGATAAAATCCTAAAAGTGTTCACTTCTTCACTGGGAACTCCTGGGCCTGGTGGGGAGCACCACTTGGCACAGGGTCACTGTGCCTGTTGCCTGCCTCCTGGCTGGGACCTTTTCTCTGGGGCATCAGGTGGCCAGGTGCTCAGTGGGAACTGGTGTAATGAGCTCATTAAAGGCAGGTAATAGCTTGTAAAGTCGCTCAGGTGGACACTGTGGCTGTATCAGAGTATCAGGTGTACGGTTTCTCCCTTCAGTGAAAGTGTTTCCTTACAGCATTTTTATAGGTATTATTTTGTGGGGTCCTTTTACTTAGGAATAAAACCTGTAGGTAACCTATTTGTATCTAGAACAAAGACATTAAAATGCTTTAATTTGTACTGGGGACCCCTTCTCATACAGTATTGAAATAGATTGACAAGTAACAGGAGGAAAACAACAAAAAGACTCTCTAACCTAACTGTGGGTGGACTTAGGTGAGTGCTGTGGCCCAAGCCCCTGCAGCCTGCAGTGTACCCGTGCTGCTGGTGCTGGTTACTCACTCAGGCCTGAATCAAACAGGAACATCAGAGCTGAGAAGCCCGAGGCTCTGGGGGTGCCGTGTCTCTGCCAGTGCCCCAGAGCCTGCCTTTCCTGGGGGGCCAGCAGCGTGTTTCCTTCCCTTCTCCAGGCTAATGGCTGTCTCTCCTTCTCTGCTTTGTTTCTCAGAGATATCAAGCCCGACAACATTTTGCTGGATGAGCACGGTAAGTGCCAGGCGCTGTGTGTCATGCACGAGTGCAGGAGCAGCTGGAGGCAGCAGACAAGCTGCAGTCTCGTGCTTGCTGGTGCCATCCTTTGCTGCTGGGCGCTCCCGCTCAGCCCAGCTGGGAGCAGGACCATCCCATCCTGTGTGCTCCAGCTTTTTGAGCAGCAGCGTCTTGTACCTGGCAGCCTGTGATGCTGTGGTGTTTCTGGGCTTGCCTTGGTGTTTTAGCCAGTGCCTCCTTTGGCTCACTGGCTGGATGGTGTCCCTACAAGACACTGGCAGAACCATATGTTTGGTGCTGCTTGGGGCCAGTAGCCCAGCACACCTGATCTTAACATTTTCTTTGTTCTTGTTTAAAACTGACTCAAAATGCATCATTTGAAGGGCAATGCTTGTGTCACTGCAGGGTTTGTGCACAAACAGAATTAATTATGGTGCAATGGATAAGCCTTGGCCATGTATTTTCTTTTTCCTTGAGCATTTGGCATGGGGAGGCAGCTCTGAAGAGGATTGGGTGTTAGGTATGTTATAAATGTTCCTATTGGTTTTTCTATAGTTTTTCATAGGCAAAACTCTTAACTATATTCTTGCATGGCTCTTCAGTCACATTTTTTTCTTGGCACAGATCTCGCAGTGAAGAGTTGTCTGATATTCATGTGTTTGTAACTCATTAGAGAAACATTTTTTTAGGTAATATTTTTTTTAAAATCCAAGTAACTATATTGTTGTGAGAAATCTTCATAGCAGCTAGAGCAAGTTGCTGGAAGAGAAAAGTCAGTGCAGGGAGGAGGCATACCTGCATTTGTTATGACTTGAGATGCTGCAGCTCCCGAGGGAGGCACTGCCTGGCCCTGTGACAGGCTGTGTGTGACCAAGGTTGCCTGGCAGCACCGAGCCAGACTAGATCCGTTTGCATATGACCTCTAATTTCAGAGCCCTGTCTGATAATTTATTTAGGAGCTGGCAGCAAAGTGGCTTTGACTGCCAGTGCTGGAGCCCCTGTCCTGCCTTGCTCCGTCTTTTTCCGGCTGCTGCCCCCCACACAGACCATGGAGAGCCCCACACAGACCATGGAGAGCCCCACACAGACCATGGAGGGCCCCACACAGACCATGGAGAGCCTTGTCCTCCCTGACATGTTGGGGCCCTGGCACTGCTGGGGCTCAGGGCTGCCCATCTCGTGCTTTTGGTCAGTCCTCACTGTTGGAGGCTTTGGTGACCCATCACCATTCTCCCAGAGCTCTGGGCCATTCAGACTGGGATGGCACAGCTTCCTGAGAGGAGCTGGCATCACCATGGCCATGGGAGGGTAGGTCAGCGCTCCCTGAAGAGGAAAAAAAAAAAGGGGAAAAGGCTCTGTTCATCTCTGCAGCTGCATTCAGCCCAGGAAGACACAACCTACTAACTTTTATAATGATGCTACAATTCAGAATGAATTTTGAGTCTATTCTCTGCTCACTGTGATTTTTTAAACTCTCTCTTGCAGAGTGTTTTTTTTCTGGGGACATACCCTTGGCTGCAGTGTCCTTTTGTCTGTGACTTGTAGTATTCCTTTTCTTCATCCACAGCAGCAAAGGTTTGTCTTCCGACAAACTTAGAAAAGCTAAGAAAACTTTGGGCATACACAGAGTTCATTTTCTTTTCCAGACTGATCCTAAAATATAGGAAGACTCAAAACAATCATCACTAAATTACTTTTTGGAGAACTCTTGTATTTTCTGGTTCCCCAAAGGGAAAACATGGGGACATTTGAAGCAAGAGACATCTGCAAGCAGCCTGCAAGCTGAAATATTTTCTATCAGTTCTCCCACGAGATTTTTTGACCTGGAGACTCCTTTCCATTGAGTATTTTACTTTATCTTTCTGATTCAGAGCTATTTCTGGTGTGCAATTAAAGCCAAGCCTGTAACACGTTAGCCTCTGTCTTTCAGGACACGTGCACATCACTGATTTCAACATCGCCACGATGCTGACGAAGGACAGCCCTGTCACCACCATCGCTGGCACGAAGCCCTACATGGGTGAGAACCAGGGGCACTTACATGTCCTTGAATCCCCATTTTGTGGGCTTGGGTGGACTGCTGTGGTGGGACACAGCTGAAGACAGTTTTGGTTAGAGCTGGGACTCTTTTCTTCTTGATCCCCATCAAAACATACCCAGTTTGAAGTGAGGAGCACCCTGGAGAGGGGATGCAGGGTGGGGACAGGCGTGCCTCCCCAGAAATGCCTCAGTGCAGCTGGGGAGTGTGCGTGTCCTACTTCAGGGGAGAGGTGAAGAGATACTTAGGCCACCTTATGCCTAGGTTGAGTGAATGTGCTTGTTCCGGAGCTCGTTTGCTGTGAATGGTTGGCAACTCCTGTGTCAGTAAAAGGAATTTGTCTTTTTGGGCTTTGGGGCAGAGAAGCACAGAGAGTTTCCTGTGGGGCTGCTGGGTGGCCTTGCTGCAGGAGCCTGGCAGCACGGGAAGGGCAGGGGTCAGGTGTTCTGTGCTGCTCATTTCCACTTGGGATTGCAGCAAGGCAATTTTTTTCCCCTGTATTTCACAGCACCTGAAATGTTCAGCTCCACAAAACCCACCAGCTACTCCTTTGCCGTGGACTGGTGGTCTCTGGGAGTCACTGCCTACGAGCTGCTCAGAACTCGGGTATGTGTTTGGCTTGTGGCCTGGCTTGCTCTGCCCTTGGACATGCTGTGGGGAGGGTTAATGCTTTATAGCAGAGATGACATGGCCAGGCTGAATTCAAGGCTTAGGACTTACTACAGCAGAGGAGATCTTCACCAGGGTTCTTGTGATCATGGTCAGAGAAGCTGCTGTAACACACAGCAGCATGTTGTGGCAGTTCCCTGTGCAGCTGGGGGCCTCTGGGTTGATAAAAGGGGGCAAGGCAAACAAGCAACAGCTCCTGAAGTTTGGGGTGCAATATCCTTTACTTGGAGCTTCTATCCTGCAAGGAAAAAGAAAACTTGAAAAAAACACTTGCTGTTGTAACAAGACTGAGCAGTTGGAGCAAATGATGGGAAAAGCCCAATCCCTGCCTGTGCCATCAGGGCTCTGCTGCTTACTTGGGCAAGGCTGGGAGCTTTGTAGCTAGACAAATATATCAGTGTTTTGAAAGTGTTGTGTAAAAAAGTGGGACAAAATTTTTAAAATTATGTTATTCTAAGCAAAATAATGTAATTCAAAGAGGAACATTTAAGATCTTGGGAGGCTCGGAAGCTTCTTTCAATATGAGTATGCAAAGCATGGTTTTTAAAACCTCTTATCCATCTTTGCAGAAGACATGTTGATGAACAGATTTTTTCATTTGAATTTGTGTGTCTCAGTTGCAAGAGATTAGTTTAGCAGATATTGAGGGGATGTGGCTGTCTGTCCTGTTGGGTAGCTGAAGCAATGTACCCTCTGTAAACATCTTAATGTAATATTTGAGTTTTCCACTCAAATAGCACTATAATGCTAAATGAATGGCAGGACTGTGCATCACGTTGGGTTTTGACTTGATGGCACTGTTTCTAAAGGCAGGAGCAGAAATGCTGTCTTGTGCTCGTACATGATGGCACAGCCGTGGTGAGAGTGGGCACCTGGGTGGCTGCACGCAGGGGAAGGGGGGCCTTGAGGTCCATCTAGTACTGGCACATGTCAAGCACACTGCACCTAATCTGATCTCTATTTATAGCTGCTATTCTTTAAATGCACTTTTAGTATGATCCTGCCTTCTTCCTCCAAAAATAAGGTAAAAATCTGTGAATCAAAACTTTCGAGATGGAAACACTGCCATTTTAAGTTCTCTCTCCAGGTAAATTGGCAGAATTGTAGATGTAAAATAAACAGGGAGGTGACTTCACCTGTGCTGTACAGTGCATGTGTCACTGTGTCACTCACTGGCTGTGCACTGCATGTTGATGCAGGAGGAGTCCCTGGTGCTGCACTGTACCGTGTGCTCCTCTGCAATGGCTCACCTGTCCCGGTGACATGACAGTGGCCACAGGGCAAAAGGAACTGTCACCCTGCATCCTGATGCCCACCTGAGACTGATGACCCCTCCTGGGACGTCCTTTTCTGAGCTGATTTTATTGTTGGGGGATATTTGTCTTCTTTTCACTGGCATTGTCCCCAGCATGAGTGAAAAATGTTTTACAGGGAGTTTCAGGAGTGCTCTAACCACAGCACTATGTGTCACAGCCTTGTAAGATAAAAACACTGACCAAGTAAATTCCAAATTCCCACTGACTTCTGGGGTTTGCTCCTGCCTGTCCTGCTGTTAAATGCCCAGTTATTAGTGTAGTTCTTGCTGACACTTTGTTTTTTGACTGAGCCATGGTCATGCAGGGAGAGATGTCCCACAGGAGGCTGGGGACTGGAAGTGAGACTGTGTGAAGCTTCTGTGTTCTAAGCAGATTTCTCAAGAAGTCTGAAAAGCAGATAAACTGACGCTTGTCTTGCGGTGTTTCCCACAGAGGCCGTACCACATTCGGTCCAACGCTTCCACGACTGAAGCGGCTCAGGTGTTCAGGACAGCTGCCGTGGTGTACCCGGCCGCCTGGCGCCCGGACATGGTGGCGCTGATCAGGAAGGTGAGGGGTGCCAGGCTCCTGCCCTGCACGGTGGGCAGCGCTTGCAGATGGTCAGGGCCAGGTCAGTGACCTTCAGAGCACGCTGTGTGATAAATGCCAGCTGCACAAGGGCGGTGGCAGCGAGCAGCGCTGCGGCCCGGGCTGGCAGTGCTGACAGCTGCTGCTGCACCTGCTCTCAGGACATGGGCAGCCTTGGCTTCCACAGTTTCCTCTATAACCTTACACTCCAATTAACTGACTTAGAAGCAGATATTGATATATGTGTCAATAAATTTGGGCCAAGAATCACTTTTATTTAATCCTCAAAAAACATTTTTTCCAGTGATGGAAATATTTGCAAGAAGTGCTGACACTGTTGTAATCCTTTGATGCCGTGTGGTTTATGCACCACTCCATTTTTTTTTTCAATAAAGCTGTTATAAAAATTGCTTCAAAATCATTACTGGAATAATTTTGAAGCTGAAATCCCTTTTGAAATGAAGCCATAGCTTCAATAAACAAGACTATGACTTAACAGTGGCAGCAAAGCTGAGCACTTACACCCTGCATAGCAGCAAATTTTAAAGAAGTATGTAAATAGTTTTTTAATTTCAAGAAAGTGTGGACTTTCAACTGTGTGGTTTTTCAACATGTAGCTTTCAACTGTTCTTTGTTCCAAATAATATATAAATATGTATTTCGTAATTTCTAATGAAATAGATTATCAAACATTTTAACGAAAAGAGGCTGTCAATTCTTTGCTGAGACAGAATCATGGCATATTTTCCAGGAAGGAAATTGCAGAATATCTCCATTTGCTGAAAGTTCCATGAAGCCAGTATTTCGTTAAGCCTAACAGTAATACAGGAGTATTTGCTGCAGATGTCCTATGTGTTGCTATGCTGGCGGCTTTTTCCCGGACCACAGCAGGCAGCAAGTCATGGAGGCTCCCTTGTGAATAAATAATACAATGTCACAATTATTTAAATTTCCCAGTGCTCCTTTGCATCTGGTTTAACAGCCATATGTATTATATATGAGCCCCACCGTGGCTCCTTCCTGGCTCAGCCATCCCCTGTGGATTTCTGGATTTATTACCAGCCCAGGCAGATGTTTGTCCTCGCGGAGCCGCGGCGCTGGCGTTGGGCTGGAGGCCAGAGCTCTGCAGAGGGAGCTGGCCACTGGGGACAGTGCTGCTGACTGGCTGCACGCCAGCACGAGCAGGGCTGTGCTGCTCACCTTGCCTATAAATTCCCCAAAGGGTTTGGATCATCTGGTTTTCCCGCTGCGTTTTAGGAGTGCAAGGTGTCAGGAGTTTATGCAATGTATAATCCTTGAACAGAGACCACTTCAACCCTTTCCTTCCACACAAGTAATCCCTACAGCAATGTTAAAAAATTATGAAAATAAGGAGTGTGAAGGCATACTTTCACACTGAAATAAGAATATTACTTTAGTAGAGTGAGAAAACAGACTGTTTTACTGATCCAGTCTTAAAAGTAGAACACAAACACCTGAGTGGAACTTCTCATTCCAAACAAATGCTTATTTTTAACATTGGACAAATTGTTTAATGCCACTGTTCTGCCCCATTGCCTGCTCCTACAATGGGGATAAAAGTAATTTGTAAAAATGGGAATAAACAGAGGCAGAGCTTGTGAGCCTGCTGCATACTCTGGTGAAGGGACTGAGCAGGAGAGGCACTGGTCCAAATGCCAGCATTGATGGAGTGTCTCTGGCACCATGTGTCCTCAGCCGTGCTCCACAGAATGTGTGCCCTGTGGGGATGGTCTCATCTCTTCCCTTCATCTCTTGCTGCAGTTGCTCGAGCTGAACCCCAAGAAACGTTTTTCTCAGCTGAAGGACATCCAGTCCTTCCCGTACCTGTCTGACGTGAACTGGGATGCTGTTCTCCAGAAAAGAATAATTCCAGAATTCATTCCCATGGTAAGGCCATTTGAGTGTAAAGGTGCCTCACATCCAGCACTGGGACATGCGACATTCTGACAAATTTCCACTGAAGCACCAGGTATGACAAGGGGAAAAGAGAGACCAGGGCAGAGCTGTCTCTTCCCTGAGTGTGTAGCAAAGAGTAATGGAGGGACATTACAGTGTGGGTTCCCCAAAACTGATATGCCCTGTTTGTAATGTTCCTGGAATTCCTGGGTGCAGAACTGGTGTTACAGCCCGCTGGGCTGTGCATCTGTGTGGGATGGGCAGTGCCTGTGAGCCCTCTCGTGCTGACCCATGCTCTGAGCCATGCTGCTCCCCACATCCAAAAACCTAGTGCACCAGGATGGGCTCAGCAGCAGCCTGGAGATCACCCACCATCTTCTGGGAATTGTTTTCTCCTGCAATGCTTCCCCCAACAAGCTCATTGTTAACAGTAAATAGCACATACACTAGATTTGTGTTTATGGGCCTTTTTAAATTGAATTAAAACAGCACATAAGTAACATAACCCTTATGAAGAATAGTCCAACTACTCCAACTTGTTTTCAGCAGAAGGTGGGCTAAACTATGAATATTTGTTAATTGTATATCCGCCCTTGTTTCTGGGTTTCTCTGTGGTGGGTATGATTCTGTACTGCTTGAAGACCAGTTCCACTGGGCTGTTGTGCTACTCTCAAAAGGCACAACCCAGCCAGGACACTGTCCTCATCCTCATTGCCACCCCAAAGCAGCCAAAGGGCAGAGTGAAGCAGGAGCACAAAAGGAGGCACTGTGACACCTTGAATACGGCCCATAGCTGAAGGGACTGATAAAGAATATCAGGAGTATAGCCAGTGCTCTTGGCTGCATGTGCAATTATAATTAGTGCATGTTTTTTTACAAAATTCAGCTCCCAGATGCAGTCCAGGTTATAAGAGACTCCTTAAGACAGTGTCTCACTTAAGGCCACTTCTCTCTCTCCTCCAGAAAGGCAGACTGAACTGTGACCCAACCTTTGAACTGGAAGAAATGATCCTGGAATCCAAACCTCTTCACAAAAAAAAAAAGCGCTTGGCTAAGAAGGAGAAAGACACAAGCAGAAGCAATTCATCCCAGGTGAGAGCCATCAGGTACAAGCATGGTCAAGGAGGCCTTTCATTTTTCAGTGACTGCCATCTAGCAAGACCACAGTAAACTGGACAGAATTTTTTTTTTTTCCATTGTGACCAACTTTATTCCTAAAACTCTCCCCATCTTCTTTGTGGTGAAGGGCAGGATGTGTATGCACTGCTTTACTGCAAGAGGAGAGCCTTAATTCCATTTTCCCTACTGCAGGGCTAAAGATGCTCTGTGCCTAAACATATTGCCATGTGTCATTGAAACTGTCCTTGCAATGTTTTTGTATGTAAACTGTGAATTTATTCCCTGTCTCTTTTATTTTTCCATTCCAATGTGAAAGGCCAGCCACCTTCAGAAGCACCTGGAAATACTCCAGAGGGACTTCATTGTTTTCAACAGAGAAAAGTAAGTTTTGATCCAGAGGCAGCAGAAGAGGCACTGGCCCTTGCCTAAGCCTTTGACAGTTTTGGGGGGCCCAGGGCAGGGGGGTTGTGGGGGCCCTGTGTTGGAGGAGCTGTGGGTTGAGGGGCAGCTCATGCCAGGCAGTGGGGAGCTCCAAGACAGCTGTACTTCTATTGGGGTCATGGCACTGCCTGGGCTTTTCTTGACAGCTCAATCATCCTTTTCTATCCCCAAGGGTAAGACCCCACCATGACAGCATCCAAGAGACCATGACAAAAAGTGGAGGCCCACACAAGGAGGACAATCAGAACAACAACCTCTGAGAACAGCTCAGCCCCTGCAGGGGACCTCCTCATGGGACTGGGGCTCACCCACCCATGCACCTCCACAACATCAGGCTGTAGACTTGTCCTCTGCTGCTGGGACCCTGCCACTAGCCCAGGGCACAGAGGAGAGCTGGGGCACCCCCTCCCTCAGCTTTCCCCCCACAGCCAGAGGGTCCCGAGCACGGGGGAGAGGCTGTGGGGGCTGCCTTGGAATTGGCCACAGTTGGTGAGACTCAGATCCTGCTATGTTGCCTTTCCTGGGGCAGGAGGCTGGAGATGAGCTCCTTCCTTAGCTGGGAGGAGGCAGCAAAGCTGTTCTGCCCATTCAGTGCTCTCTCTATGTACCCAGCAGGGCTGGCATGGTGGGTGGCCATGTGGACAGATGTGGACTGTGACAACTAGGTGATGGTGAATCCAGGTGCTTTGTAGTGCTTTACCAATCTAGCCTGAAAAATGCATTCACCATCATGTTAAAACTGCTGCAGCTCACTGAATCTGGTGGGGTTTGGCTTCCAAAACCAGAGGGGAATTTGAATGTGTATTTTGAATGTCTCTAGCACTGAAATCACACTTGATATAAGCAGGAACTGCCCCTGCCAAGCAGCAGGGGCCTGAGGAACAGAAGAGTCAACCGACAACATGAGCTGTTTGAAGGAACAACTTTTTTTTTAATAAAGTGTACAAAGTAGTAAAACTCCTTACACAAGGTGCTGTGACAGCTGTTACAGAGATGATTTGAGCTCCCCCACAGGCCTCATGATGAAACGCCAGAGCATTGGGTGGAGATGAAGGAGATGAATGTGACAGACCCACCTCTCCCTACGAGCTCAGTGCACCTGCCCTCCCCATCTGACATCCTGCCTCCGGCCAGACCCTGCCTCCTCACCTGCCTGGCCGGGTCGCCCTGTGGGCCATTCCCACTGTCCCACACCACGGCATCCCACACACGTTCAACACCAATAACATTGAACTGAGCAACCTGTCCGAGCAGCATGCATACAGAGAGGAAGAGCAAAACACAACCCAACCAAACCCACAACAGTAACAACAACAGAACTTTAAGGCTATGCAAAACCAAAATGAAGCAACATCTTTAAAGCTAGGTAGCAAGTAGCATTTGTGAAACATAAGGCTTGAGGCTTATTGATTCTTCAGAACAGGTTTATTTCTTTTCATTCTTCAACACCAATGTACCATTTTTCTTCCTTTGCTTGAACAGGGCTTTTGTTTCCTCCTCAGCCGGGACATTTAGCTCAGGGAGGTGATGTTGGAGCGGCCTCCCGGGGGCGCGACAATGCGCTTGCTCGCTGAGCGCATGCCCTCATCAACCTGGGTACCTGGGATAGGATGAGAAAGTACAAAGGGAACAGGGAAAGTAATGTTAAGAGCATCTTCTTCAAAGGACTGAGCAGCCAGGCAGCCTGGAGCCTTGCCAAGGCCCTCCAGAGGCTACCTACTGCAACCTTCTCCCTCTCCAACTCCAGTAGCAACTCACAGCCGCAGTGGCTTTAAAGCCTCTGCAGATACTTCATGAACAGACCCACCCAGCAAGAACAGCATCAGATGCTGTGCTGGCCTCCATGGCCACGGTGGCCTCCAAGTAATCTGCCTGGCTATTACTGCAAGGTGCAGCTGCAGCCATGTCCTTTAAGGGACACACAGATCTTGCCCTGCCATGATCCACTCTTGTGCTTTACCTTGCCACAGGCCACCTCTAACCGGCCCCTGCCCCAGGCCAGCCACCACATGTATTCACCTGACAGGCTGAATCCAGACTGATGGAGATTCCTGACGGGCGGTGTCTGACGTGTGGGGGACCCCCTAGTTGACCCCGCAGGGGTGCCCCCCTTGGGGGTGGTGGTCAGGTCAAACACGGGTCCGTCATATAAGCCCCGGGGCACAGCATGCACCTCTGCCATCTGTCACCAGAGAGAAGAGGACAATGACACTTCTCTGAGCCCAGGGAACATCATGCTCCAGCCATCCACCAGCTCCTCAGTCCCCCTGCAGAAGGATGTCACGTTGCTATGTACCATAAGTCCTGCAGCACTGAGGCCTGGCACAGCCCCCCTGCCCTGTAAGGTGTGCAGAGCCAGTGCAAGAGGCTATCACCCACATGGGTTTGTGCTGCACAAATAAGGGAGAAGAAGGCGATTTTGGCTAATCTTTTCATTTTAAACAGTGTTTCCCTCTAGACTCCTGCTGAATCAGGACAGCATGAAGAGAGACATTACCACTGCTAACCTTAAGGAGCATCTGTCTCCACCATGGCACATCACTAACACAAAGGGCTCCCTATCCAAGCCTCAACTATTCTGTACATTCAAAATACACCAGCAATTTGCAGCACTGCTTACAGTGTCCAGCAAGAAGAGCAAAGGAAAACCAACCAGTTGTTAAGGGCAATTTGGGCTAACAATAATCCACCTCTGTCTCCTGGCATCCCCACCTCCTCACCTTCCTCCTGGCTTTGATGCGCTTGTAGACGTAGTCAGGGAAAGGGCTGCTGGGCAGGAATCGTCCAGTCCCCTGGGTCACATGCAGGTTGCCATCCTCCAGCATGATCTTCCCCTGGCATATGACAACCAGTGGGGCCCCACGGAGCTCCATCCCCTCAAAGATGTTGTATTCAGCCACCTGCAGCAACCCCAGGATGATGGTCAGGAGGGAGAAGAGCACTGCCTGCCCCCTCAGGGTGAGTCAGTCCCCACACCTCACTGCTGGAGTCACCAGTGCAGGCAGAAAACACCTCTAAAGCCTTGCATGCTCAGAGGCCTCCTGTAGCTCACTAGCCCATCACAGTAAAAGCCCACCAGAGTTCCCAACACAAACCAGGACCTGCTGGTTTGAAGCTCAGTGTGAGGAAGAACTCCCAGAGCAGATAAATGCAGGACCTAGGCTTGAGGTAAGGCATGAACAAAGCACTGTGGCAATACCAGGAAAAATATTAGTGTCTGGAAGAGGAACCAAGTTAAGGAGAAATGGGTGTCTTTCCACCTGCATAGGCCAGGGTCACGAGAAGAATACTCAAGCAGGGTGAAAAAAGCCCCATGTGCCTAGGGCTCGTGGACATTCAACCCCTAGTCACAACAGGCACTGCCCAGAGCTTGGGCTCAGTCCCTCCTCCTCAGAGCCAAGCAGGACAGTACCAAGCTCCCAGCGGCCAGGCAACCTTTCTACAAAGCTACTCACACGCCACCCTCCAGCTTTCACACAGAAGAGCAGAGGACTTACAGACTGATGGGTTTTTGCTGTGATGATTTTTACAGCATCAGGATCCCATATAACCAGATCGCTGTCCGAGCCTACTGCTACTCTCCCTTTTCGTGGATACAGGTTGAAGATTTTGGCAGCATTAGTGCTTGTCACAGCCACAAACTGGTTTTCATCCATCTTTCCAGTGGCCTGCACACAAACAAAGAGAACTAAGTCCATCTGTGGGGAAAGGGTGAGTAAGAGCCCTGGGAAGCATCCTCACTCCCACACAAGGTGCAGGCTGGCTGGGCCCAAGCTTCTGAGGCTGATCTTACTAGCTAGTGCCAGACAGACCAAGGCCCGGGGGCACAGTTACAGCTGCTGTATGTTCACCCCAAGCCTGCAACAACCACCTCTCCTGCCCCAGCTTGATTTGACTCTCAAAGCCAGAGAGGGAACAAGCTGGGTCCCCAGCCCTATGGGGCAGTAGCATGGGTGTGTGAGATGGCAACCACCTCTTCCCACTCTGCCCCTTCCCTGGTTGGACTCTCACCACTGCCTTGTCCCAGATGACAGACATTCGTTCCTCTACGCCGTTGGTTCCTTCTGGGATCGCCGTGAAGTTGTCTTTCCCAATGGCTTTCTGCGCGGTGCTGAAGGTACAGTGAGCGCTTCCCGACACCTGCAGATCCCCACTGAAGAGGGGTGCAACAAACCCACTGTCAGTCTTTTGCAGTCAGACAGCAACAGAGACATGAGGGATATGGACTTCCTCTGGCCACAGGCAGCCCCCAGCTCAGGTTTTTTCACTCTGCACCCTCATTTCCACAGTCCCCAGCCTGAAGACTTCCACCTGACCAGACCCTGGGGCAGCTGTGTCACATGGGAGCAAGGCCGGGGGTGGGCCACACTGGAAGTGGAAGGTAAGGAGTAGAAAACCAGTTCAGGAGCTGGGCTCACATTTCCTTGCCACTTGTTAAGACCTGCACCCATATCATACATCCAGTATGCACTGAGGTATCTCTTGTTCATTGACAAATGAACACTGCATGCAAAATGCAGGTGAGCTGCATACTCAGACTGCAAATGCACTGGCACTTCTCTTACACCCAGACACAGCATCTCCACTCTGGCACAACGCAGGTTTAGCCTAACGTGTCCTGCTGGAGACACCCCTTAATGACTCCTCATCCCTTGTTCATCTTGGTAGAGATGTTTCCAGCATTACCTCAGAGGGTATGTCCATTTACAATCTCCTCAGTGTCAGCCATCCCCTGGCTAACAGACCAGGCAGCACACGCACAGCTGATGTACAAACATGGGCTGAGAGTGGAGGGGGATGGTCACACGGCACACAGACAGGGCAGGAACATGCCGTGTCCTCAGCTGCTGCACTGGCCTTACAAGTGAGAGGATGGAGTGTAACTGTGAAAGGTCATTGCAAATTGCTGAAGTGCTTTTTTTGCTTGTCTTTGTTTTCAAAAAATCCTCTCTTTACCCTTTTGCCTTCAGGATGAAAAAACAACCTGCCATCCAAGACAGATGTGCAGGAGCTGCACTCTGCAGGCTCTGCTACTGCTCACCTGTATAGGTGTGTGAATATATCTGCTTTGTATTTGACTGGGGTCCCCACCGGCCTGTCTAACCTGTAACACTCTCCACATTGGTGCAGCATCCCACATCATCATGCAGCATCCCAATCCAAACATCTATTCCCCCCTTCTCCAGCTCGGTGAATCCTTCTGTTGACAAGTCTGTTTTAGCTTGTCCTCATTTCTTTGTCTTCTTCAGGACATTTAAAATGTTTCATGACTACTGGTATTTTTCTCTTAGTGATGTTAAACTTAATGTGTCCTCCCTCCACTCTTGAGGACAAATCAAAATGGCTGGGGGTCAGAGCCATTTCACTGCTCACTTCATTACATACCTGTGCACAGTGAAGTGGTTCAGGCTGGACTAACCTCTTTCTTCCCTATCCAGAGTCCACTTTCCCCTAGAGTGCCCCCAGCAGACCTGTGACTCACCTGGCCAGGAGGGAGTTAAGGTAGTCAGGAGTGGTTGGGTCTGGGCTCAACGGTGGAGAGACCACAAATGCCGCAGCCTTCGCCCAGTTCTTGCTCCAGTAGTGTGTTCCATCAGTGCCCAGACTGGCCGTGATGGGCTCACCAAACACCACAATGCCTGGAGAAGGGCACAGAGAGAACAGTGTTTTGGTGGAGCCTGGTGGCATTCTCTGCTCCACTGCACCACCAACAGCCTGCAATGTCCTGAGAACACCCAGACCCATGCCATCACCACAGGGTCCTCCTGCCCAAG